ATGATGATAATGTGGATGGGGATGATGATGAGTTGGATGGAAATGATCTTCGAGGGAATGATGATCCAAGTGAGATTCATGTCATTGACGGGAGATTTTAGATTTGACCCGAAGGAAACTCGTAAGTTTCTTATTTATAATTTTTTATTTAAGTATACATTTTAATTTTTAATACAAATTTATATTTAATATTGCTAATTCAAATTATTGTTGTTTAGTTTCTCGCTGAGTCGGACTGCTGCCAAAATTATAAATATAATTCAACAGATGTATAAATAATTTTGAAAGACCTTCAAAAACGTTAAAAATAAAGAAGTTTGGTTTAACAAATTAGGTATACTTAATTTATTATTTTAGTTATTGTTATTTAAATGACTTTTCGATTATAATTATCTAACTATTTATTTTAATGTGAAACAACGTTTCAGAAAAAACGTGTGTGGGACCCATTGAACGAGAAGTTGATAAAAAAATTATCACGGGAGAACCTCAAGATGATTTTCAGACATAACGCGGTGTGTTAGAGAGCGTTGGGAACTTCAGGATATCCGTCCCAATTGGATAGGCAAAGGGGTTTTTGAGGAACTTCTTAAATATTGGGAGTCACTAGAATTTCAGGCTAAATCTAAAATTTTTAAGAAGATGAGGGCATCTGAAAAAGGGGTTGCGTTAATGCAGTTGGAAGTATAAGTACCGCAGAGCATGTTCGACGCATGATATATATTACCACTTTTTAAAGTTATATTTTGATTCATAATATATTTTATTAATTAAAGTTAGTTTTATTATTTAGACTAAGACTTTGGGGACACCACCACTGATGATTGAGATGGTTAAAAAGATTCGGATAAAGAAAATGGGGTATTTTATTGACGAACGTACACTAAAAGCTTTCGCAAATGATTTAATTTATGTTGTTTATATATTTTTTAATTTAATGACAATTTTGTATCGTAATTTTCACGTGGCAACTGAAAAGTTGTGGCGTGAAAATCACGTGACAATTGAGAAGTCGTGGCGTAAAAATCACGTGGCAACTTTTTAATATAATTTAATTTAACTTAATATAATTTAATATATATTTAACTTAATTTTTTTATTGAATGTGTAAGAGGATTATCAGACATTGCTCGCAAATTTTCTGATTCATAATCCTCAATATACTCTGGGAGAGGGAGAGTCGCTTCATCCAGATGTGGATTTTTATATTTGGGATCAAGTCATTAACCGAAAAGGGCCTAACAGTTGTTTTTTTGGTGGTAGAAATTTGGCGGGCACCTTGAAAAATGGGGATAGAACTCTATTTCAAAGAGTTAGAGATGGGGAAGAAGAGTCACATCAACCAAATTTGACAACATAACAACTTAAAACAGTAAGACAATTGGCGTTAAATGAGGCGAGACGCGAGTCAGCGCAACATGAGACGACAACGAAAACTCAAATGGAGGCTCAAATGGAGACAATGAGGCAAGAGCAACAACGACAAATGGAGGTCATGGCAAAGAGGCAAGCTGATATGGAGCAGTAAATGAGACAATTTATGCAAGGGTTTGGTGGAAATCAAAACGTTTGTGGTCAAGAGCCGGAGGATGACGGAAGCTAAGATAATTTTGACATTGACAACTATCTCAACCAAAATGACCCGTTGAATTAATTTATTTTTTTTGCTTTCAAATTTAAATTTGTGTAACATACTAATTAATTAAATCTATTTTAAATTAAAAAATCTTAAATTTATAATTTTAGTTTATTAATTTTATTATAATAAATTTATTTAATTTACTAATTTATATATTAAATTTATTAATTGATTTTATTAATTTAATTAATTATAAAATAAAAACAAATTTCAGCAATTAAATTTTTAAAAAATATTAATGACATAATTTCACATTATTTGAAAATATAGTTAAATAAACACATAATTCACAAGGTGTTTAAAAATATCACTTAATAGGGTATTTAAACAATTCTATTTTTTTTTTTAACGTTTTTAACAAAAAGAATATGTAATTAAATCACTTGGCTGATTCTTTATTTCTTAATGTTTTTTCTTTGAAAGATATATTCTTATACTCATAAGTTAATTCACTTAGTTTTTCAATGTTCATTGTAATTCCTTGTGTTAGAATAAAAGAGTCAAAAGTTGAGTCTTTCTCTAATTTCTTTTTTTATGAATTGGATGATCTTGATCTTGTGATAAAGTAATTTTGTGATATTTTTACTTTTGCAACAAGCTACTTTATATTCTTTGAGCTCACAACAGGTTTTGTACCTTTTATCTCGTAAAGTTTGTATTATTGTATACTAATTCTTAGTTGTCTGAGTGACAATTGCACAATTTAGAAGAACGCATCGATGACTTTGAATTGTTTGCATATGAATCAGTGAGATATCTGACAAAGCTCTTACTAGTTTACCAAGCTAGTTGGAGTTTATATCGAGAAGATTTTTAGTTTGTATAATGTTTTGGATTGGACCGACACTTGACTCATCGTTGGAAAGATCTAATCCAGCGCCTTCACAAAGACTCAAAAGCGTGCAACTGAAATTAAGGACCATTGGGCATTTCTCCACGTGTCCACTAGAAGAGCATGATCCGTGTCCACAACGTTATCATCATGCCTTCTGAGAATAACGAGTCCAACTTCCCTATTTTTCTGGGCAGTTGACCAGGAAGGAGGCTACGTGCTGGACTCCATACACCCGTAAACTCTGACAATCTTCATATTGAGCCTCATTGTGACCCAACACTGAAGATTTTGGCCCAACGGTGTGGACTATATAAACCCTCTCATTCAAGAGGATCAGATATTCATCCATTCACTCGTTCTATCTCACTTCTGTTACTTGCACTCTGATTGTCTAAAGTTCACCTAAGTCAACGCTTTTAATAGAAAACACTAACTAAAATGCACTTTAGCTGACATTTTCTGTTAAAAGCGCCGACTTAAATGTATTTTAGACATCATTTTTGTTAAAAGCGCCGACTTAAGTGTATTTTAGACTGCACTTTTTGTTAAAAGCGTTGTCTTACGTGCTCTTAATGCAACACTTTATATTAAAAGTGTTGGCTTAAGTATTTTTTTATTACAAAACAACACAAATGAATATTTATAGCATTTTTTCTATATCAAATTTTTTTCTTCAATTCAAATATCATAAATTCTCACAATCATATCTCAATATTGTGTTGTGATTAATAAGATTCACAAATAAACTAATTTGAATTTGCATAAATTTCATAATCTCTCTACTACAAATTCAAAAGTACGTATATTAAAAAATGATAACTTATATCTATTTAAAATTATATAATCTCCATGTTATATTGAAGATAATTTCTTCTTTTTGATAATATCATATTCAATTACTTAAATAATATCTTATATATCATATTTATTATATTTCAATCAACATTTTAGTAATCAATCTTCATATGTGATAAATAATTTTTGAAATTAGTGAGTATCATATTTGCATATGTACTAAATTGAAAAACTATTAATTAATATCTAATTTCTAAGATTATAAATGATAACTTACAAACTCATCTAAGTAACTATTTTCTTATATATCCATATTCACTCCAATCCTCTTTAATTTCATTTAATTCATCTTTCAAGTAAGTAAAATATTTGAATCATCAAAATACTATATAATATGATTAATTTAAAACTAATTAGATAAAAAATTATTAAATATTAAAATAATATCTAAATTGTAAATTCATGTCATTTTTAGAATAAGATACTCACTATGTACTCTGATTCATGAAATATTGTTTGATTCAGTCTTTGATACTCGAACTTACGTTTGATAATATTCCATTATTTTGTTTATACTGAAACATTTTCATTGACAAACAAAAACAAACATCTAATTAAATTTTTTTATTACTAAAAGTATCTAACAATGAAGAGAATAAGTATTTTTGTCTCAAAAATAAGAAAATTCCATAATGCTTCCAACGTTCATTCTTTCGAATTGGAGAAAACAAAATTTAATCATTAAATTTGATCCAAAATCACCGATTTAATACAATCATACAATACCACAAATTTCTCATTTTGTTCCCCTTGCATGTTTCAATTCTTCAATACACTTCTTACTTTCATTTTTTAATATAAATATAATTAAAAAAATTTGTAAACTTTGTTGACATAACTCAATCTAAACAATTATTAGAAATTGATTTCTAGACGCATTATAATTATTTGTAACCAAACATTAACTTCATTAGAACCCCACAAAATTTAAAATATTTTAATGCACATTTTCAAAATCATGTATGTGTTATATAAGCGTGGAAGTCAGATATTGTATTAAAATCAAACTGGCTGAGCGAGAATGATTGAGTAACTAGATGATACGGGTCAGGGGTTTGATTTCATTATAGTTCTTTATTTAAATTTTTAGTTTCTATGTGTACTATTAGACATCGATTTTTATTCAAGGTCTAAAACTCTAGCGTAAAATCTTTTAGGGCAGCATTTTTTATATATTTTTGGACGGTGTCAAATGTATAACTTAAGGCAACGCTTTTATTTTATAGATGTTAAAAATCCACTAAAATTTATTATGAATTTCTACCAATTTTGACGAACAAGATTGATATCACAGCACAATGACAATGAATTATATGAAATGAAAAGAAAGAAGACGATTATTTTCTGCAGAGTTTCTCTTTGCCCATAAACCGTAAAAAACTTTATTAATCACTTGCAACTGCAAATTTGTGATTATAATGAATTGACTTAATTACGAAATTAGGGGTTACTCCCTCTATTTATAGATTTATGTTAGCTTGCTCCCTAAGCCAAAACTCAAAACTATAAAAGCCCAAAATACCTATTTTTGTACTAAATCAAATCTATCTATTTTAGATATGTATCAAATATGTGTGTAGCTTGCTTCGATCCACAAGCTTTTCGACTGGGCAACCTCCCTTCGACACACACACTATTTCAACACAATCGAATTACAATTTAACACACCACCTAATTCATTGTGTCTAAACTATCTATATTCATCATGGTTTTTAGTCTCCTGAATACTTCGACCTGCACTCCCTTCGTCATGATGTCTGTAATCTGATTCTCAGTTCTACAGTGTTCCAAATTCATCTTCCCATCTGGTATCTGCTCTCGAAGATAGTGGAACCTCATTTTGATGTGCTTGCTTCGACCATGTGCTATCGGGTTCTTTTCCAGATTGATAGCTGACATGTTGTCGATCTTCATGGTAATTACTCCATGATCTTTCCCTGTTATCTCTTCAACCAAGTTCACCATCCAAGTTACTTGATATGCACAAAGAGAAGCAACTATGTATTCTGCTTCGCATGATGATAATGCCACTACTGGTTCCTTTCTTGAACTCCAAACAATTGGTGCACCACATAACATAAACACATATCCTGCTGTTAATTTTCGATATTCAGCATCACTACACCAACTCGAATTAGTGTATCCCACTAACTTGCATTCTTTTCCTTTATCAGCTGCAGGAAACAAAATTGCATAATCGAGAGTTCCTTTGAGATACCTTAGTATCCTCTTCACCGCTGCTAGATGTGATACCTTTGGCTTCTGCATGAATCTACTTACCATACCTACACTATATGCTAAGTCAGGCCTTGTATGACAAAGGTATCTCAATGACTCAATAAGTCTTCTATATTGAGTTGGGTCGACATCATCTTCATCTACATCTTTCGACAATTGCAGTCTTGGTTTTGCAGGTGTTAAATTGAGTTGCATTCTTCCATCTCAACTCTCTTGAGAATTTCTCCTGCATATCTTCTTTGATGCATCATCAAACCTCTACTGCTCTTGTAAAATTTGATGCCAAGGAAATATGAAATCTCACCCAAATCAGACATTTTGAAATTTCTTGCTGAGATCACCTTTGAAGTCTTCGATCTCACTTTTGCAGCTACCTGTTATCAACAAATTATCGACATAGAGACATAGTATAAACAATTCACTATTGCTTCTTCTTACATATACTCCATGTTCAATTGTGCACTTTACAAATTCCTTCTCCCTTAGGAAACTATCAATTTTCTTATTCCAAGCTCTTGGAGCTTGTTTCAATCCATACAGGACTTTATACAGCCTGTACACCTTTCTCTCTTCGTCATGTTTAACAAACCCAACTGGTTGTTTAACATGAACTTTTTCGTCTAAGGGTCCATTCAAGAATGAACACTTCACGTCTGTCATACGGTGGGAAAACTGACTTGAGGGTTTTGCATTTTATCGCAAATGTTGCGGTTAGCAAGAGTCGCCACCGACTTTTCTTTTATCCAAAAGGAAAGGTGAAAAAGCACAGGAAAGACCTTTGAGATTGTTTCTTGAGTTTGGGGGGTAGATTATGAAAAGGGAAGGTATTAGCACCCTTTTCATCCATGGTTTTCCATGGGCTCTTAGTTACTTGCTAGATCACTTGCTTTTTGTTTTGAAATTGTGCTTTGTGTGGTTTTTGAAAGTATTTTGTAAAAGAGGCCATTGTTTAGGAAATCTTTGTAATGATTCTCGTTCATAAGAATGTATACAAATATGTTTATCTTTTTAGAAAATGTTTGTAAGATGTTTGGAAATGTGTGTGTTTGTTTTGAAAATAGCAAGGATGGTTGTTTGAAAATGGGGCAAGTAACTAGAAGTAATCTACCTACTCAAATGTATTTCTTATTCATTTTCTATTCCTTCGATATTGTTGTTTTACCATTGATTTGGTAAGCAACCCTATCTTTGGATGTAAACGGGACAGGCGTGGGTCATCGCATAACCATGATTAGCAATGTTGCAAAGTATCTTAGCATTTTTGAGGTACCAAGATCATTTTGTAAGGCAACTTTGAATAGCGTCATCAAGGGACTTATGATCTTATATTTGTTTGTTTTGCCAAGATACTTTGCATGCGTAATATGACTATTTTTGTATAAGGCAACCAAGTGGAGAAACCCTAAGGATACTTGTGTGCAAGTGTGTTGTTTTAATGCTTTGATTTTGTCTTGGATTAGGGTTTTCTATTTGATTTGTTTTGATCTTGCCATACAAGCCCTAATTACTAGCATGGTATGTAAAAACGGTAAATTGCGTAATTTAAAGATTACTATGCTATTACAACATTTTATGGGAGGGGGGAATACAAATTGTGAATGAGGATTTGCAATAATATAAATCTAATTAAGCTATTACAACCAAATCGAATTTGTACAAATATTTGAATAAACAATATACAATATAATTTAAATATGCAATGTTATGTATATGCAAGGAAAAGATTTTTGTTTTGTTTTTCATATGAAAAAGAATTTTGACCTAATCCTAATACCTTAAGAAAAGGAAATTATTTCTTGAAAAAAAAGTTAACCCTAATTTCTAATTTAAAAAATAAAATAAAGTTCTTTAAATATTATTTTTGTGTATTTTTTTGTATTAGATAATATTTTAAAAATATTTGGTCTTTTTATATATTAAAAAAAAATATTTATAAGTGTGAGAAAAGGAATAAATAATTAAACTAATTCTATTTTTTATTTACAAGTTTATTAGGGAAAAATAGTTAATACATAACTAAAAAAATATATTCTTTATGAGAAAATAAAATAAAATAAACAAAATATAATATTTATCATTTTTATATTTTTTTTTATGATTTTTAATAATTTAAGAAAAATATATTTAATGAAATAAAATAACATAAAATAAATAAATGAAAAAAGTTGGGCCAGGGGTGCCCTGAGTAATCAGGTGGTATCATGTTAGAAAAAAAACACTAGGCCCAAATGTTGAAGCCCACCCTGCAAACAACCAAAAAAATGAAGGAAAAAATGTGAAAAATGCAAAAAGGCAGCGCCAAGGCTCGAACCTGGGACCTTGAGCATTTTAGCGCGCTGCCTTACCACTGGGGTGGCTATACATCTGTTAATTCATATGAAAACAAAAATACATAACATGAATCCCTTCCTTGCCCCGTACTTCGTTTTCTTCCTCAAGCTGGCCAGAACCTCTGTATCTTTCTCATTTCTCTATGAAAATGGAAACTTCAAACATGAAAATGGTAGTACTCTTTCCCACGATTTCAACTATATAACTCATGTAAACTAACTATCAAAGATCAAAACGAATTTTAAAGGCCCTAATTTTAAACCTAATTTTTACAGAAATTTGAACTCTAAAATTCTCTATACACAATAAATATAAATGAATTCTATGCACATGGTTGGCTTTAGCACAATAAGATCTACATTTTCCTTTCATAAATCGTGGCCAATGGATGCCTGTATGAAGAGATAAAAGTTGGAGTTCTTACCTCTTTCAGCTGAGATCGTGAATGGAGTTTGAGTGAGTTTTATGAAGGCCTGAAGATTCCTTTAGCTTGTCTAAACCTCCCTGAGTGTATTCCAATCCTTGCCTTGCTTTGAAAGTGCCTGAATCTCTCTATCCAAGTCAACCTGCAAGCTTGAAAAACAAAATAGGCAGATGAAGAAGGAGGAGTTACAATGAAGAGATGATGGTCTCGATCACTTAGATATGAGGTAGGTAGAGTGTTTGAGTGATTAAAACTTGAAACGCACGAGTAAATTTGTGGATTGCTATGCTTGGTTTCAAACTGCCAATTTTGACATTTTTTTGGTGATAGGGAGTTTTTGGCCTTGAGAAATCGTGTCCTAAGTTGTAATGTGTTTGTGTATTAGTATGGAGAAGGTTTCTAATCCACTCCACAATAGATTTCTGAGTTGTAGCCTTTTTGCACTCTTACTTGCTTTTTAAGAAAGGTGAAGAGACCACTCTCTACATGCTTGTACAAGCCTGCTTGGAGTTGGTACAAGTTATAGACAACTTTCTTTTGGTTTATAGGACTTGTGTGTGCAGAGAAAACATGTCCAATGCTCAAGAAGTGAAAAGTTGCAAAAGTCATGCTTTTCCAAAATGGCAATGGCAACTTTGTGCCATTTATGGAATTAAAGCTTGGACAAAGACTCTTGTGCTTGGATTAAGGCTTTATCAACTGAGTAAGCATTAAATTATGAAGTGAGATACAAGTTTGAAACCTGTAAAGCAAAGATTAGGCAGCATATGTTCAAATTTGAATTTTGTTCTTCATGAAATGGCTTGAAATCAAAGTGAGAAATTTCCAATTTCATCTCTTCGATTCTACAAACTCAAAAATAAACTCAGGGAGTTCTTGAACATTTTGGAAATCTTGCAATGTGCTCTATAACTCATCTTTGAAATTAATTTCAATATTCCTCTTGGAACTAGGTGAAAAATTGCCATGAAGTTAGGTCAAAAACCTGCCTAAATTAGGGCAAAATTTCACTAAGTTATTTTAGTTCATGAGCATGTATTCATAAAATTATATCTTGAGACCCAAGAATCTTTAGGGAAAAATGTGTGAAACAAAGTTGTATATTTCATGGAGGTCTACAACTTTCATATTGGGAACTTTCTTTGAATCATCTTGTATCATGGTGGAAAATTGACTTAAAGTTGAGAAAAAATAAGAAATTTTCTATACTTAGAAAAATTTCTAAGTTAAGAAAATTCAAATTTCAAAACCAAATCTTCAATCTTTGATTCCTTGATGAACAAGTTTCATATTTTGACATGTTTTGATGAATTTTGGTCCTTGTCACTTGAATTTGACCAAAAAGTCAAAGTTTGACTTTTCAGTATACAGTTGACTTTTGATCAGTTGACTGCAAATTTCATCTGTCAATCCAATGAAATTGCAAAGTTTTGAACCATGCTATTAGGTCAAGATGATACACTTGAACCCTCGAAATCATGCTTCAAATCAATTGGTCATTTGCTAGGTCAAAAATCAGAGATTGCCCTTTCTCAATCAAAAACCCTAATTTTGACCATTTTGCCCTTTTGATGATTTTGATCAAATTTCTTAAGGAATTGTGGTCCAAACTTGATCAAATGATACATATGAGTCCAAAATATTTATGTGGATAAAAAATTATGAAGTTTAACTATAAATTGGCCATGGTTGACTTTTTCCCCAATACAGCTGAATTTTAGGTCAACTGTCCAATTGACTGATAAAAAATGTGGTTCAAGGCTTGAAACTTGTCATGAGTAATCTTAGGGGTCCATAATGATGTTTTAAAGTCATATGAAGCATTGATAGCCCAAAAATCCTTGTACAGTCTCAAACCCTAATTTTGGGTGATTAGTGCATGATGAGAGGTCTTGAGCTGGTCAAACCCTAATCCAGTCTTGAGTCAAAGAGATCTTGTAAGAATAATCTTGATACATGAGAGGGCAAATTTTGGAGTATAACAGCTGCCCCTGTTCAATCTTCTTAAACCTGAAGAGTTAGATTGGCGAGTTTCGTCGTTCGTGACTTAAAGGTGAAAGAATAATTGGACACTAGAGTGCCCATAAATTTGCACTCGATGATGTGATGATAGAAGGAATGGGCTTACAGATGCCATTTGGAGAGGTGATAGAATATTGTTGGAGACGGGCTTGTAGATGCCATCCAAGAATGTTTGTTGAATTGTAAGTTGTAAGCTGAAAGAATAAGTATCAGAATGACGTCCGTGTCTGGAATGTATCAGAGCTGTATCTGGAGACTGAATCTGAATGAGTATCAGAATGGAATCCGTGTCTGGAGCGTATCTGAAATATATCTAAATGAGTATCATAATGGCATCCGTGTCTGGAGTGTATCTGAACTGTATTTGGATGTTGAATCTGAATGAGTATCAGAATGGCATCCGTGTCTGGAGCGTATC